AGAGCGAGGAATTGTGGTATATGCAACGCAAGTCTACTATCACTTACGCCTAATCCACGTGTAAGTCACCGTCTCTGCAGCACTATGCCATAGAGCAGGCGGTGCACATCGACGGTCGATTAATCGGTAGTGCGGATTTTTACGCCGTCCACGTGACGTAAGTCTGTGTGGTAGGTGAGCGAAAGCGATAGAGAGCGTCTTGGATACTTGGTAGTTACACCTGAAATGCCGGTTGTAGCCCACTTTTAAAGAAATTGATTGTGAATCTCAGCGGAAGGGAGCCCGGATTGGGGAGTGTGTGTTCGACCATCGACTTCACTGAAATGCACCAACGGATTTGTACAGGGGATAGATTAAAGCGAAAACGGATATAGTTACTGCCAGTGCAAGCTAGAAAATACCGCCTAACGTAGTGTTAGGTGACGCTAGACTTTGCGCGGGTACTACCGTTATATCTACCCCTATTCACCTTCAGTAGGTGTCAAGGACAGGCTCAATAAGGCCGAGACAGATACGGCTACTACGACTACTAACTAGCGGTTTAGCTGTGCGTTAGTAGTACTAACACTGACGCTACCATTCGTCAGTGACGCTGATTAAAGCCAACGCTGGAGCTTATACCCCCCTGATCTCAACAAGGTGCGTAAATCTGGATTTAAACTATTTTGAAAAAGTAAATGTTGGGAGCGTTGAGCACAGCAGAGTTTGCCTTGGTTTCCACCCTGTCAACTCTATCCATCAGGCTGTGTCCGTTTCAACTAGGTTCGGGCTACAATACTGCTGCTAGATGTACGTGCCTATGTTTACGTGCTAATTCGAGTAATCATGGTAACTAAGGCCTGTAAAGAGTATACTATAATACGGCCTATGTATGCTTTTTAGGAAGTAGGCACCCAGTAGGCACTTCCGATCTCTATGAGGTAAGGTGATTAGCTTATGGGTTAAATAAAGCGTTATTAGATAATAGCACAAGTCTTACCGTGCATTTACGTCGTAAAGTTTGCAGTCTACAGAATGCATATAGACCTACTACAGTATTTATCTGTAGCTTGGACTTTACAGAACGTCTACTCATATCCCCTCGATCCCAGCAGAGAGTGTGAATCTGGGTTTATGCTATTCCGAGCAAATACATGTTTAATGCCCGGAGCAGATCAGGACTTGCCTTAGTTTCCATCCTCTCATCTATGTCCCCCAAAAGCTCTATCACATTTTTGCTAAGTTTTGACTAGGATACTGCCGCTAGGGGTAATATGCCACTGCCAAGAGTGCTAGTTCTAGTAATAATACTTACTAAGACCAGCTGATAGTATATTCCTTTGATTGTATTAATAGTTGACATCCATCCTATTATTTCAACGAGCACTACAGATGGGAATATGAACTTACGCGCATCCTAAGTTTCATCTGTGCTGATTTATAAGACACCCGAGCTAGCGTTCACGCCCGGTAGATAAGTTGGACGGGGATTGGGAAGCACAGATGGCACGATCGACGGGGGTAGGTCAAACGGTCTTGTGCGGGAGGGAACCTGTCAGGGGAGAACTGAAAGGATAATAGACGAGCTCATCTCGTAGGTCTACGTCTCGCGCATGCCACATGCGATCACGGCCGTCAGGTCTGTATCTCCAGTCCGCAAAGTACTCTCACTGGCGGGAGGTGTCACTGGTTCCTTTCACAGAAACTGGTAGTTGCTTTATGGCGCCTGCCCAAGCAGTAGTCGTCTCGGCAGTGGAGTTTTATGCCTCCCAGTGAACTGGTACTGTGTAGTGTAATCGCTGGCTTAACTACTGTGGGAGAGGCTTGTGAGCGCCTTCTTCTTCGCCTTTCCTTCTCAATAAAACTATAGCCCGAAAATGAAGCCACCCGCGGTCAGGACCGTAGGACCTCGATTAGTCGTCGGAAGTTCTGGTTCCTGGTGGCTTCGGTGTCATCTAATCTTTAGGGTAGGAGACTTCCCGATAAAAACGAATATGCCAGTCCCAGGAAGCAGTTCAGAAGAAGAAGCCGCGATCGCTGGAAACAGAATTTTACTTTCCGGACTTTACGGATTCTGTCGAGAATTCTTACTCATAGGTAACCCTATAATGGTTTTATACATGAGCAGATTGGGGTAATACTTGCACAGATTGCGTGGCATTTGTAGTTTGTTGCGGTCACCCGCGTACATCCTATAATTATCTGCTCCTGTAGCCACCGCTAGGGATCTTAATTTGCGCGGCGATGGCTCGGAAGTTGGCTTTCAAGAAATTAATTGTCGCGATTTCGTTGTCCGTATTGGATGCCGGTTTGATAATTGCGCGAAAATTATGTTTGCTGTCGTCGGAATTGTTGTGGGGCCCGGTCCTTCCCACGTGACTGATTCTCACCCTCAGGCCATGTCTCAATATGGGAACGCCAAATCGTTGCGCTTGTTGATTGGCGGTGGGCCAGAGAACCATGACCCGAGTAGCTCGAGGCTCACGCGCTAGACTTGAACGCATCTTCTCTTGGTAGGTGACTTGTTCAGTTTACGCTTACGCACACTGGTATGCGATGTGGGCATCGGGCTTCTGTGCTTGCTAGACAGGCACTCGGCGTCTGAAACTCTGACCCAACGACAATCACCTTCTCTTTGCTACTTGTCCTCTTCGCACCCCATCTAATAGGGGTGCCATCTACTTAGATTGCTTGTTGTTTTAATTCAAACAGAATTCACAGACCAGGTTGTCACAGTTTGCTCACTAGCGGAGGATACGCAGTAGAAAGTGGGCTAGGGGCACTTTTAAAAAGCGCGATCAACGGAGTTTTTGTGCAATTTCTACGATTAGCCAAATTAAGTAGCACTGATTTAGGCAAAGTCAAGGGATATGGCGATCTGTAAGGCAACAATATCTCGTCTCGCTCTGGTTTAAGTGATGATACCAGCACTTCTGTACCCGCCCCCCCCCAAAATGGTCGCGTGTCTCTGGCTCTGCATCAATACGCGGGGCTAGAACAGAGAACGGCAAGTGTTGTTCGGGTTGCGCTCCAATAAAGGATGCTGAGCATAAGGTGGGGGCGTAAGTGGCACACGTAGAAGCGGTCTGACCCCGCATAAGTCACCTGCACTCGATTCCGCCTCCCAGCCCAGATGGACGAGGGAGGATGCCGCGAAAGTCTACTATTATTTAAATCTAATCCGCACACAACTCAACGTCTCTGCAGCGTGTGGAACACACACACAGTGCACTTCGTCAAATGTGAGAGTCGAACGAGCATTTTCGTCGGCAAGCAGATCTCTTCCAGTTGGTGGACCCAATCTCGAATGTAATATTGAGGGATGGTGCTGCCTAGCAGATGCGAACTCTCGGTGGTGGGTCCTGTCTGCGTGTGACAACTGAACTGTTGTGTTGGCATCGGGTCAGGTTTTAGGAACCGAGCTGCAGGGAAAATTTGGGAGTACGAAATGTGTTCGAGGAGACTTCTTTCACAAGTTTACCTTAAATGCAGCTAGTACCAAGAACCGAGTGGTTAGTTAGGGAATTGTTGACCACCATCGAGGGTTAATTTGCGTGGAGGAATACTTCATTTAAGCTCTCTGAGTGACATTTAAACTTCAGTCGGGAAACTCTGATTTCCTGATCTAGCTTTGCAGGATTTTCATTTTTCGTCAATCAACGCCAAAGGCCACTGTTATTGGAACTGCAGGTGCGCATTTGAAATTTTTTTATTTAAACCATTTGCTTTGATGCGCATAGCGTGTTGTCAAAAAAGATCATCAATATATTTGAGGGATATGTAGGTGGGCTACCTTTGAGTTCTCTCTTTTTATGTGTCGCGGTAGCAGAAAAAATGGTATCTCAATTTGTTGGCGAGGCTAGTTGACCTGAGATATGGGGTGGTACATATTTTTTTTTAAAAAGAGCAGACAATGAAAAAAAACTGGCGCTTTTGTGGGGTACCCTCGCATGGGATTTATGTTGAGAGAGCGCATCGCAGGGGGTTAAAGTTAACCCTAACAGCTACAATCTTCCAGGCCCATGGTTCCTTAGGAGAGAAGAGAGAAGTCTTGAGATGGCCAGAGTGTTAGGAATAGTTTATTCTGTATACAGAGGAACGGATAATAGGCAGGAAGAAGTTTGACCTCGGAGCGCACGTCATTCCGCTACAGCGGCCTGGTCCGAAGTGATTTCTAAGAAGCATGCATCCTAGCGGTCATTGACAGGGTCTGTCTACACATGCAGGCGTGTGATTCGTTGCCGGGCCAGGGGCCAGCTTTGTGGCTTCTGTGATTGGC